GTATTATACAATCTTAACTTTGCGATACCCACTACCACCACCACAACCATTGTGTCGCCCCCATTACCATTGTGTCATCGCCACTACCGTTACCACCATTACAACCACCACCGCCACCATTACTATTATGTCACCGCCAACATCATCATTGTGCCACCACTGCCGCCACCACCACCATCATTGTGTCGCCATCATCACTGTCGCCACTGTTACCATCACCACCATTGTCGCCACCATCATGATGGTGGTGATAGAAATAAAATAGTTATGGCGAAATGTTAAAATAGAAGGACAAAATTAGACTAATAATAATTTTTAGACTTTAACTCCTTATATTTATCAAACAGTTTGATTCAATTCAATACTTAAATTTTAGTTGATACCAAACAGTTTACGAAATAAAAAATTCAGCATTCAATTTTCAGTATATAACTTTCAGTTTTATCAAATGCCACCTTAGGTGGTGTTTAATAAAACTGAAAATTGAAGTCTGAAAGTTGAATGCTAAATTTGTGGACTATTTGGTATTCACTAAAATTTAAGTACTGAATTGAATTAAACAGTTTGATAACTACACAAAATTGACGTCTGAAAATAAATTAATTTTCAGTTTTACCCTTTCATTCTTTAATTTGAAAATATTTATAAAATATGTCATAACATAAATTATAATCACTATTATTATTTTATAGTCTACATTTAACATATTTGATCAAAATAAATAAATAAATAACATCTGAATAATACAATAAGTGAACAATAATAAATTGAATAACATAATAAGTGAACAATAACATTTGATGAAAAAAAGGAACAATAACTAATAAATAATTAAATAATATTAAAAAAATACTATAAATTAAATTTCATTAACAATATGTGTATGTAGTGCATATGTCTCTGTGTGTGTGTAAATATGTGTGTGTATTGTGCATATGTGTGTGTGTGTGTAGTGCATATGTCTGTGTAATTGTGTGCGTGAAGTTTGTGCAATGCGTGTGTTTGTGTGTGTAATTATAATTATGTATGTATATTTTTGTTACAGAAGACAAGGAAAAGAAAAAAAAAAAAGAAGAACAGATCGACAAAGAGAATATAAAGGTTAGGAGTTTTGCAGAGAAAACTAATTAGAGTTTTAATAGAATTGTAAAATATTTCAGAGTATAATTGTCATATTGTAAATATTATTAAAGATGATTTTATTGAGTGCTTTCAGCGTTTAGAATTAAGTAAGAGATCTTTTACTTAATATTGTAGTCTATTTTTAAGGAGTACTTAATATATTAAGAGAGTTTAAATTTTGGTTATTAAACATGTTTAATTAATAAGTGTTGAATACATTTATTTTAAGTGCTGAATTTGGATTAACAAACACACCCTTAATCTTAATCCAGTAAGATCCCTTCAATCTAGTTTCAAGCGGTGAACAGCGTATCAAACCAGTTAACACACTTTGTGGCAACTCAGGCTAGAGGAGGCAGCATCTTCCTTCACTTGGTGGTTAACCCTCTAGAGCAAATTAGGAGAATTGTACAGAGGAAAGCAAGGAAAGGTACTGGCTGATGCTTGGGCTTTTGCCTCAATTTATTTTGAGATAGATAATTATTTTTGTTTATAAAGAAACAAAAAAAAAATTTGCAAATTCGACAAAGCAAATTTACGAATTCATTTCATTGGATCCATGAATTTAGAAATCAAATTCGCAGATTAGGGATGAATTTTAGTAAAAAATTCATTTTTACACCATAGTAAATACAAAACTAAGATTAATTATATCCAAATGCACTACAATTAAAAAAATTATCAATAAAATAAAAAATCCTTTTCAAGGAGTTATATAATAAAATATAATTTCTTGTTCAGAATACTAAAAATGAAAAAATATAATTATTTTTACCACATGAAATCAAGTTTGTGATTCCGAGTTTTGATTATTTAACCTTATAAAGAAGGATAAAAACAATAAATTTTTTTTAAAAATATCAATTACTTGGCAACTCTTTTAAAAATAAAAGATCTTGCATTTTCACTGTTTGCATCCTTGAGGAAGCGCCAGATATTTATTCTCTATCGAACAATTTATAATGCTTTTAAGCTTTTATTCATAAAATTTCTATAATATGTAAATATTCCTCACAAACTCTGTCTATATCTCTTAGACTTAAAATCTCTCGCAAAAAAATTCATAAAATTTCTATTGTTGAAATTTTAACTTCTACATTACAATTGTACTAATGTAATAATTTATTCTATTTTTTATTGGTAAAAATGGGTCAAATGATGAACAAAAAAAGTTGGATGGTATTTTATTGAACAATTCACATGATTAAGAGTATCAATCAACAGATTATTTATATATTTAATATATATTATAACGCTCTCAAGACACTCGCCCTTTCAAATTTGTTTTAGAATTTTTTCGCTCTTGCGCTCCAGTTTTCGCTCCTACTCTATGTGACTAATTTCGACATATTCTACAAATATTTAAAGGTGCTTCAACATATTTCGACTTATCTTTGGAATATTTTGGAAAATAAATACTTAATTTTTTTTATGCATTTTAATTGTGTTTCTAAAATGTTTTCAATATATTTTTATTTCCTAGGTGATTGAAATAATATATTAAAATAAAAATTTGATTCTTGAGCAATACATCCACCCATTTTGCAAGAAGATTTATTACGTTCATTTTGAACATATGCTAAACGCATTATCGGCCATTGTCAATTAATCTTGGGAGGAAACCAACTCGACACTTAAAGTAGCAATTAACAATTAACAAGTTCAAGTTAACTAATCTCAACACAAATTTAAATATAATACGGTCCGCTAATAGGAATAATACAGAGACCAAGGTAATGTCAAACAAAAATAATTTGAATTGACATGATAAATCAGTTAATGTATTGATACCCTTTTAAAGCGTATGAATATAGTGTATCAAAATAGTGTAAGAATAATAAAAACTAGACTTCATAGTGATACTTCGTAGTATTATATGTATATACTAGTTGATGCACACGTGCGTTGCCCAGTGGATCATTTTAGGCGACAAATGAAATTATACTCCTTAATTATATTTTAAGGAACACCTTCGAATATCCAACTTGCATAGAATAAAAAAATTATAACTCAAACCTCTAATCATGTTTCCATTGCCTCCATTCTCTTACCAAAGAAACATAATCGCGAACAACACCCATTAGTACATTTGAATGACTTGAAATCTTAACTTAGAATAATGAGTAACATTGCATTTATCGAAAAGAAATGAATGTCATGGCATAATTGAACCACATGTTCTCATGGAATAGGATAATATCGTAATACACTCAATTGCTTAAAATTGATAACATTGATCTATGCTTGAGAAACATCAATCTCCATTACATTGACATAAAATGTGTTCCCTGGTTAGAAATAATGGTACCAACATAAAATCTGTTTAAAATAGAAGAATATCACAAGTGAACTAATTAATTGACCACAATTAATCTTTGATATACTATAACAACAACTTTGAGTGTTCTACGTTATGAACTAGAATACAGTTTGTAAACGCCATGGACCGTAGCTTTAAAATGCAAAAAGGATAAAATATTGTGGGTTTGTGTAACTAATCAAAATTCCATAATTGCACACGTAACGAAGGAACATCGTTTATCTATAATCGGAATCAAGTGATTAAGGTTAACCTACAGTTGTTGTCGTACAAGGTTTCACTCACTTATTTGATGTCAGCAATGTCTTTTTAGCAACTGAATACCTCAAGAACTTGTCTGGGAAGCAAGTACATAATCAATTCGACAAACCAACCATACATTTTAATGTGAAGGAACTAAATAATACACTTGAAACACAAGTTAATTTATTTTGTGAGAACTATTAATAGTTAATATCTCCATTTCTTCAAAATTACAAAATAAAGAATCAACCTAACTACTAATACTGTAACTTCAAAAATTATTGATTTCATGAAATGGATAAAAAAAACACTAAAGCTTAACGTCTAAGTGTCGGTAGAATTAATGTCACAAGGCCTTTCCTTTGGAAGTGTTAAGCATTTATCTTTTAGATCAATAGAAGGAATGTATAATAGCCAGGTAACACTATTTTCATATTCCAGTAACCTAATATATAAATTTTTACTAGTTATCATTTATCAAAGATAAAGTAATAGTGGGTGTATATCAACATAAGACAAAAAAATATTCTTACTACACCTCCAAATTTTATAAGAACTTAATATGGTTAGACTCTAGATCACAGACCCAATCAAATTATCCAAAGAACCTTATCTTTTGTAAATGATGTTCTTGCCAATAGAGTCGCAAAATGGAGAGAATATGTGGATTTCATCTCTTAAAGTCTCAAGCAAAAGAGAAAAAAACACTGATGTGAACTTTGTACAAAATACACCAGTGAAGAGATTTGAACATTACCTGCAGTCCACTTTCCCCCCTGGCCTTGTTAACAATAGCTCACCAAAGTTTTGTTGTTGAATGGCCATTATCCACACAAAAAAATAAATAAATAAATAAAAAAGCAAGTTAGCCCACATCCACCATTATGGATTAAAAAATGTAAATGAAGAGGAACTATAAGATTATCTTAAATGAGAAATGATAAGATATTTTTTTACATAAAGTAGATTCTCCATTGAAGTTGTTCGGATCTCACAAAACTCAAGTGCAAGTTGCTACTGGACAGCCCAAAGAAACTCTCCTATGGAATCATCTTTCCTAACCTGAGATAGTAAACTAGTAGAATTGCCAAGACAAAAAGGTTAAAAAGAAGAAAAATAAATAGATACTACACACACAAAGAAGAGAGAGGGGGAGTAACAAGATACCACAAATATGGCCATTTACCGAGATCACTCACCTATGGCTTGCCCCATCCCTGTAGTTGTAAGTGATTTCAAGTGGCTTATCTGAAAAATTGTAGCAAAAATTGGATTCAAGACACAATTCTTCCATAAATTTACGTGTGGTAGCAGCTTAGATAATAAGATTACTTTTGATCTGGTCCGTATCGTGAAGCCACTGTTTCTGCAACCTTTTGCACTCAATTTGTTCCTCAGCCTCCCTCTCACTATAAGAGTACCCTCCAAAGACAAAGCCAAGAATGAGAACTAAGTCAAAAGGCACAGATATAGATCATTGTCAAGCAATATTGCAACATTAGTGTGCTCAAGACGAGAATGTGCTGATAGGACAGAGTTGCAAGGCTCAACTACAGTGGTGGAGACCTACTCTCAAAAAGTAGAGATTTGAGACCAGACCCAATCCCACGACCAAATTTTGCATCTGGAAGAGCATTAATGATAGTCTGTATGTTTTGATGAGCATTAGGTGGTAGAATGATACATGGTTCAAGCATTGTGCAAGCCCCTCCCTCTTGGATAGAATTAAGCCTCCAAGCACTGATGCTGCTACCCCTTGATCAGTTTCATTTCTTTATAGGTTTGGTTAATGAGTTAATGGAAGATGAGATAGACGAAAAACGAAAGGGCAAACAAATGTTATTGTGATTATTATACCTAATGAATAAAAAGAGAGAGATATATGAAAGGGTGCACGGTGCACCTAAACCGACTCTTCTGTGGGAGAGAGAAGGAGAGAGGGACAGAGAGTGGTTTCAGTATAGCTTGCAACTAACATGATTATTGAGGCTTCATGATTAATTTATATTTGGATAATGTTTATATTACAACAATAATTATAATTTTTATAATTTTCATTAATTTTACGTAAGATAGTATGGGGATTAGTTAGTTTATCAAGGTTATTTAAGTCAATTAAAATTTTTCTTTTTTGTTGACATTTTATAGTAGTACTAGTCATTACCCGTGCCTGAAGACACTCTTACTAGTCATTACCCCTGCTTGAAGGCACTTTTACTAGTCATTACCCGTGCCTGAAGACACTCTTAACACAAAAAATTCGCCAAGTAAATGGTGCATTCAAGAATGTCTTAAATAAAAAAAGTGGACGGGTTGAAATGAAGAAGAATCACATCACATTAACACAATCCGACAATTTCCATGAAGCTAAATTAACAACATTAAAAAATTATCCTGCCTTACATTTCTTTATGGCGGCTCTTCTTTCCAATTCGGTGTCTATTTTTCACTATTCAAGTATTCAAAAAAATATGCACATTGGTGAGGGGAAAGCGATGCAAATAAAAAAAAAAAAATTGATAGTTGGTTTTGATTTTTTTTTTTTTGTACAATTGGTTTCACTTATTTTTTTTATTAATCATTGTTATTTTTTTATTGACTAGTTGATGTACGTGTGCGTTGCATGCTGATAATTTTAAATTATAATTTTAGTTTTTAGTTTTCTCTAAATCGAAATATATGATCAATTTGCGATTAAAATTTTACCTACTAATCACAAATATGTCAATAATTGTGTATGCTGATTTTTCTTATGTAAAATGCAAACAAGGCAATCTTCTAATAAATAGACCTGATGCATAGCTAATGTCGAAGCATCTTCAAAACACTTCAAAAAAATATTTCATAAAATTATTTTTTCAAAAGACTTGGGTCGAGCATGTTATGAATAAATATTTTATGACTTGGATCGAACATGTTATAAATTAACATTTTATGCTACGTGATCAATTCATATTTCTTGGTCCATAACATAATTGTAAAAGAAGCGAGAATATGAAAGACATGAAATTGTTCAAGTTCCAATTGGTGGCGGATATACGTATTATAGATTTTTCTTAATTTTAATTAAGATCATATCTATTTCTTATCCTTACGAAATAATCAAATAAATATATTATCAAATATATACTTATGAATCAAAATATAATTTAATAAAACTTATATGTAATGACTAGTAATTGTTCGTGCCTTAAGGCACTATGTTTTAAAAAAATTGCACTTAAAAAAAATGTATAACACAAAATAATAATTAATATAGACCCATTATTCAAAAAAAAAACAATTGATAAAATGCTTATGCATAAAGACACTGTGTAAAAAAAAAAATCTCCAATTAAAAAAAATTATAAGCCATACAAAAAGACTATGCTTACTATGGTAATTGAATTTCATATTTTATTTAAGGTAATACAGTTATACTTACTACAAACATACAAAATTACCAAAAAAAATAAAAAAACACTTAATTTGAAAATTGCGTGAATTTTAAAACTTCCAGCTCAAGAAGGAGCTCTCATGACTGTGCAATTCACCTCAAAGCATAAGCAATACAAAAAAGAATAAGCTTAGATCTAATGATCCTAGCATGCCTTCCCCTTAGCAGCCACGACTATTTTCCCACACAATCCTATGCTTTTTCTGTAATCAAAATCATAGTTAGTAAATCAGTCGATCCAATTTACTATGACAATTAAAATCATATAGAACTATAGAAAATTGACTTAACAATTCATCTAAAATTAGTCAAATACATTACCCTTACTAACCTAGATAATTGAATGTATTAACCCTTGTAAGAGTTGTCACGAAAGTCACTTTGCATGTGTTTAAAAGCCACTGCTATGATCATCAAACAAACTCAAACATATCACCTACCCCAGATATTGGAAAAGAGTCCAAACAAACTTAAACCAACTAAGAGTCCCCTTATTTCACCAATTTTTTGGATTGGAAAATTGAATTAGAATAGCATACAAACAACCTAATTAATGCAACTACAACACTTAAACCAACTAAGAGACATGTGAAGTGATGTAGGGGTAGCTATCTTGCTTTCTTCCACACATTGCAAACAAAACAATGCACGAAAATTTCAAAGCATTCAAAAAATTTGTCATTAAATTAAAGCTTCACATGTATAAGCAAATCAATCACATATTCTATTAGCTGAAAAACAGAAAAAACATTGAATCAAGTTTTCTTTACAATTAAGAAAACATAATATGAGACACAAAAACGTAACTTACTTTTGTCCAATATTTTGGCCAACCAAACACTCAGCATTTCTGAACCAAAACATATTAGTGTCATTCATTAGACAAACAAAACAATACACAAAAATCTGAACAACCACTTAAGTCTAAAACAATTGTCTAACAAATTAACTTAAAAACACACAAATCAAACAAATCGTTGCTTAATTGAAAATATTATTTAACTGCAAACAACTTGCATATAATTATAAAGGCAAAATAACTCAGAGAGAAATTCCAGTAGGGTGAATAGAATTTTAGAGAGAGCAAAATAGATGTAATTTCATCTTGGCTAGATATGTGATAATTTTTTTTCTTAATACTTTCAGAACTGAAAATGCATAATTGAATGCAATGACTACATGCACAAATGTGCAAATTTACTCATAATTTATTATGTCCACATAAAGAAAAAGCATGTAGATTGGATATCCTTTACCTTTTTTCAAATGTAGTAACTTCACTTTTTTGAGGACATGGCAAAATCCTGGTTGTGTGATTAAATGCCTATTAGCTACAACATAAATACGTTTTTAAGTAGGCATAGCATTATCAAAGATAACATATAAAATTATATCGATGCAACCATTCATCAAGGCAAAAGAATAAGAGAATTTCAATATTAAACCATTAATAACCTAAATTGCTTTTGAAGTCTGTAGGGTATAAAGAATGGTCTAGATAGCATCTATCATAAGTAGCTTTATAAGAGAAGCTTACAATGCTGCTCCAAAAAGTAGACGCACACTGCAATACCAAAATCAAAAACACCAGAGGCTAATGAAAAATACAAAAATAGAGTTTAACATAACCATCAAGAGTTGTGTGGACAAAAGGGAGGCATATCTTAGAAATACAGTAACAAAAAAAAAATTATAACCTGAAGGTATTATGCACCCGTAACAGGTGGAGAAGACGTTGGCAGCCATGCCGTCTCATGGAATTAATTATCAATCAAAAGGGCTACTTATTGCGTGCAAGAAAATAGAAAATTCAAAACACTATAAAAACAAAACATTTACTTCCAAAAATATGCAATAGATATTCGATCATCTAGTATGTATAAAAAACACAGTCAAAAAATAGAGGAAGCAAAGAAGTGTGAGTATGTGTGTGTGTGATGTATCATGCGTGAATGAGTGTGTGTGTTTGTTGTGTTCATTGTGTAAGTGTTTGTTGTGTTCAGCGTGTTTGTGTTCGTTGTGTTAGTGTGGGAAACAAAGAGGAGGAAGAGAGGAGAGGAAAATGATGAACAAATACTTGAGGTTGTGTGGCCGTGGCTGTGTAGGGGCACCATTTCTTTTCTGCGACTTTATTCGATCATCTAGTATGCAAAAAAAACACAGTCAAAAAATAGAGGAAGAGAAGAAGTGGGAGTATGTGTGTGTGTGTTGTATCCAACGTGAGTGAGTGTGTGTGTTTGTTGTGTTCATTGTGTGGGTGTTTGTTGAATTCATCATGTGTGTTTGTTGTGTTTTGTGTGTCTGTGTTAGTGTGGGAAGTAGAGAGGAGGAAGAGAGAGTTCCTGGGTTACTTTTTAAAAATGGAAGAGAGAGTTGCCAGGTATTGGGTGAAAATGGAAGAGAGGAGAGAGAGAGAGTTTTTGGGTTGCTTTTTAAAAATGGAAGAGAGGAGGGATAGTGTATCGGGTGATAGAAAGAGTTATAGTATGAGATAGAAAGATAAAGTTAGATGAGCGATAGGAGTCTTTTTATCGATTAGTATGAGATAAGGGTAGGGAGTTAGATGAAAGATAGGAGTCTTAGAAAAATTTAATATGAGGACCGTCGGATCAATAATCGTGAAATAATATGAACCGCGAAAAGCTAAAGGCAAAGAAAGCTAGCTACTTTATTGTATAGATNAGAGAATTTCAATATTAAACCATTAATAACCTAAATTGCTTTTGAAGTCTGTAGGATATAAAGAATGGTCTAGATAGCATCTATCATAAGTAGCTTTATAAGAGAAGCTTACAATGCTGCTCCAAAAAGTAGATGNGTCTAGATAGCATCTATCATAAGTAGCTTTATAAGAGAAGCTTACAATGCTGCTCCAAAAAGTAGATGCACACTGCAATACCAAAATCAAAAACACCAGAGGCTAATGAAAAATACAAAAATAGAGTTTAACATAACCATCAAGAGTTGTGTGAACAAAAGGGAGGCATATCTTAGAAATACAGTAACAAAAAAAAAAAATTATAACCTGAAGGTATTATGCACCCGTAACAGGTGGAGAAGACGTTGGCAGCCATGCCGTCTCATGGAATTAATTATCGATCAAAAGGGCTACTTATTGCGTGCAAGAAAATAGAAATTCAAAACACTATTTGTGCTAAAAACAAAACATTTACTTCCAAAAATATGTAATAGATATTCGATCATCTAGTATGCATAAAAAACACAGTCAAAAAATAGAGGAAGCAAAGAAGTGTGAGTATGTGTGTGTGATGTATCATGCGTGAATGAGTGTGTGTGTTTGTTGTGTTTATCGTGTAGGTGTTTGTTGTGTTCAGCGTGTTTGTGTTCGTTGTGTTAGTGTGGGAAACAAAGAGGAGGAAGAGAGGAGAGGAAAATGATGAACAAATACTTGAGGTTGTGTGGTCGTGGCTGTGTAGGGGCACCATTTCTTTTCTGCGACTTTATTCGATCATCTAGTATGCAAAAAAAACACAGTCAAAAAATAGAGGAAGAGAAGAAGTGGGAGTATGTGTGTGTGTGTTGTATCCAGCGTGAGTGAGTGTGTGTGTTTGTTGTGTTCATTGTGTGGGTGTTTGTTGAATTCATCATGTGTGTTTGCTGTGTTTTGTGTGTCTGTGTTAGTGTGGGAAGTAGAGAGGAGGAAGAGAGAGTTCCTGGGTTACTTTTTAAAAATGGAAGAGAGAGTTGTCAGGTATCGGGTGAAAATGGAAGAGAGGAGAGAGAGAGGAAAGAGAGAGTTTTTGGGCTGCTTTTTAAAAATGGAAGAGAGGAGGGATAGTGTATCGGGTGATAGAAAGAGTTATAGTATGAGATAGAAAGATAAAGTTAGATGAGCGATAGGAGTCTTTTTATCGGTTAGTATGAGATAAGGGTAGGGAGTTAGATGAGAGATAGGAGTCTTAGGAAAATTTAATATGAGGACCGTCGGATCAATAATCGTGAAATAATATGAACCGCGAAAAGCTAAAGGCAAAGAAAGCTAGCTACTTTATTGTATAGATGTATTCTAGAATTGTTTTATCGAGTACATAATTTAATTATTGTCACACCAAAAACTTTGTTCTCTTAAGTTTTAATGTATAAATTTATACAATGTTTGATTTCTAAATTAATGTGGCCGAACTTAAGTTTGATATTTTGAGTAATGGATGGCACAAATTTCATCATTGTAGATACAATAATCTTATGTGCTTTCAACAAATAGTCTTATTATAGTTTATGTTACTTGAAACCAACTATTCAAAATTAAAGATAAAAAAATTGTCAAATAAAAATAAGAATAAATAAAAAAGTGAGAATAAATAAAGAAGCATACAAATTGCCCGTCTAAAAGAATCTGAGTTATGAAACTCTAAGGTTCTATAAGAGTTATGACATTATTTGATTTTTAGCATATTTTATTGACATTATTGCCAATCAAAAGTTTTGTACAAGTATTGACGTTTAGAAGTAGTATAGATAGATAATATAATGTGAGCAATGTTATGTGTACCAAATCTTGCATCAAATCACTTGCAACCGTTGGATCAGTGAGTTCCATTACTGATCTAACAACTGCAGTTGATTTGGTGCAATATTGAATGGAGATTAAATGATGCAATATGACATGATTGGTAGAAAAAAAATTAAATAGGATTATAAGTAGTATAGATATAGATGTTTATGAATGTAATTAATTTTAGAAGATCATGAAATATGAGAGGTTTATGTATTCAATTTAAGAAGTTAAAAGGGTATGAGAGATATAATGGATTTTATCATATTAACTAAGGGTAAAAGAGGAAATCAAAAGTTTTTTATTGTTAGCCACTTTTATAAGTAGTATAGATATAAATATAGATAACTATCTTGACTTTAAATTTTTTAGTTTTTTTTGTGCAATTGGTATCACTTGTTTTTTTTATTGGTAATTAACTTGGCTTTGAATTTTTTTTTTTTTTAGTGCAATTGGTATCACTTGTTATCTCACACTCTCTCTCTATATATATAGATAGAGAGAGTGAGAGATGGGATAGTGTGTGAGAGATAGGAGTTTTAGAGTTTTAAAAGGAATGAAAGTCCAATTAAGATCATCAGATCGATAATCCTCATATGATCTGAGCCACGAAATCCTAATTAGACTTTCATTCTCTCTCTCTCTCTATATATATATATATATAGAGAGAGAGATTATGAAAGATGGGAGACAATGTGTTTAAAATGTCTATGAGAAAGAGAGAGAGTTATATACGCATGAGAGTTGGCTGTCTGAGATAGAGAGAGAGTTATATGAGAGATAAAAGTCTTAGAGTTTTTAAAAAAATGAAAGTCTAATTAAAATTGTTAAATCTATAATTTTCAGACGATCTATGCCACGAAAAGCTCAAATATAAACAAAACTATCTATTTTATTATATAGATAGATATATAAACACATACATACATCATCAAATTAAATCTAATATAAAATCATTATAGTAATTTCTAAGATAAAATAATTAAAATTCTGTAATTTTAGTTGTCAAATTTAAAAAGTTTCAAAAATCTTTGAAACATATCTCTAAAAACAATAGAGAAAGATTTATAATGGGTTTTGATTTTCCTAAATTTTAGTTTTTTGTTTTATTAGAACTTCATGTATCTATAAAATAAAGTAGAGTTGAGTTTGAACTTTGAAGACAAAGAGAAGTCCAGATCGTTTTGAGACAAAACATAAACATATCCAACGGACAATGTAATTTTAATATAAAAGACGGTTCAAATTATCTCATAAATTTTGATCTGACAATCATAATTAGACTTAACTTTAACACTCCTATCTCTCATATATATCTCTCTCTCTCTCTTATCTCTTAGACGTTTTAAACACATTATCTCATCTCATCTCCTCTCTCTCTCTCTATATATATTTATATATAATAAAGTAGCTATATTTGTTTATCTTTAACTTTTTGCGGCTCAGATCTTTTGACCATTATTGATCCAATGGTTCTCATACCAAAATTTGTTAAGACTCTTATCTCTTATTTAACTCTCTCTCCTATCTCATTTATACTACTAAGATAGAGGTGATTTCAAACTTCCTAAATTGAAATCAATCTTCTCAATTAATTAATGATTTTAATTAATAATTAGTGAATTTTAATTAATAATTTTTTTTTGTATTATAAAGTGCATTTGGGCACGACAACTAACTAGGAGGCACAATATATTTATTTACAAGTTATTTGGCTTGTATGGTAGTGTTAGTTTAATTTAATTTGTATCTTATTCATTTTGTATTAGATGTTTTGGATTATTACATTGCAACAGTTGATAAATAATGGTAATAGCGATATTAACGTAACGTGACAAAATTATTGATTTAAAGTACTATTTATTTACAGAAAAAGTTTGATTATGAGTTGTACACACAAGTTGGTGTTGTTAATTAAATCATGTTTTCAAGGAGAACTCTATCGAAATTTTTTTAAAAATAAAAGTTGGTTTATATTAACTATTAAGATTTTATGTGTTACACAAATTATTTTGCTTTGATATTCACGTGTATAGTCACCATATATAGTATATTGTTGATAGTAGTATTGTTGAACAGGTAGTTTTATGTGTTACATTAATTATTTTGATTTGGTACGCCTTTTAATTAACCATAATTTTTTTTTGTTTCTCTATATCCTCATGTACAGGTAATTAATAATATATATAAAGACTTAATGACCTACCATTAAAAATTGTATACTTTTTGTCAATTAAATTTAATTTTGTGTACTCTTTCTGATTTTCCCAACAAACAACCAGGTTCTGTTTGAACCATTATCTGCCAGGGTCCCAATGCAACTTTTCTAGGTGCCTCAGAATTGAGAGGACAGAGCCCCTTGACAAAAGCCATGTGCAGTGCCACTGGGTACTCTTTAGAGGGTAGGAAAGAAACCATTGAGGATAGGATTCACAAAGGTTTTTGAGATCAGAAAATGTTAATTGTATTGAAAATCTCCAAAATATAAAATTTATTTTATTTTGGTCTTTAATATTTTAATTGTATCATTTTAGTCCTTTAAAGAATTGAATATGTTTTTATGTGGTTCCTCAAGCAAACAGTATTTAAATTGTTAACAATATTTTATTATAAATTTGCCACATAATACTTAAATATGAACAAAAAATAATTTGGGTAGCACTTGACCAAATTTGGAAAGCTCATTATCAAAACTATGTAATATGAGTTGCTCTTGACTAAAATTTGGATGACCAATTATCAAAATTGAGTAATTTAGGTGGCTCTTTGACCAAAATTTTGGTAAAAATTTAGTCAATAGTTATCAAAATTATTATTTTTGCTCATATTTAAGTATTCGGTGACAAATTTATAATAAAAAATTATCAGTAATTTAAACGTTGTCTGCTTGAAGGACCACATAGAAATATATTCAATATTTTAGGGACCAAAATGATACAATTGAAATATTGAGAATCCAAATGAGATAAATCCCACACAGCGGAGATTTTCGACACAATTAACCCGATCAGAAATGAGTTGATCAATGGGCCAGAGTATCGGTTGCGAGTGGCTGATAATAGCATCAACCATCAAGTAGGATATACATTGTATCGACATGTGTCACCACCAGTGCACGAGTTTCCTACTCTATGCAGTCTGTCTGCAACTTTACCCCATACACGCATATCTTTCTCTGTAACTCGAACTCGTGACACACAAATCACAATGACTGCTCCTGTGAACTAAGAATATCTGCAGCAGAAAACATTTGGAAAACACTCACATGAACATATGGAACAAAGGGAGGAAATAGAACTCTTGTTGATCTAGACAATTTGAAAAGATGAATTCAAATCCATTACTTATCTCAGAAATTCCTACCAACAAATGAACTGCAAAATGAATTTCCATGGAGGAAAGGGAAGAAAACAAAAACAAAAGACAAAAAAAGAGAAAATACTTACCCCATCTTACTTATATTAACCTTAATGATCTACGCATCACTAGACCTGGAACACTGAATACTATGTCATCCGCTCATCTCTAACCCCTTTTTTTTTTCAGTGCTCTCATTTCATTCCTTTCTCTGCTAGCTAAAATATGTCATCTATTGCTCCTAACTTCACCATTACATCTCTGTACAAAGAACAAATGAACAAAGAAATGCAAAACAGTAAGAGAATAACATAATGAGAGTAACACAGATCTCCTTCACATGAACCCAAACAAAGGCTCACTCCTTGGAATTGGACTCTGGTTTGGTGGTGTTTGGAGTCATTGTTGCAGTCCTGGGCACTGTGGTCTTTCCGTCGATCTTGCTTCTCATCTCAAGAACCTTCTTGTGGGAATTGGAGTGCAGCGACGGAACAAATGTTGGACTTGCTGCAGGCCGGTATTCAGGGAAGAGCCGGCCCGACTTGTGGCGAACACCACATGCATTGCAGAGGGTTTTTGGCCCCATTGGACCAGCCCTCCATTGTGGTGTCTTAGTTATCCCACAGTGCATGCATTTCCTTACTGCTTGAGATGGCTGATTTTGATTTATCGCCAAGGGACCCAAAGGAACTGATAATTTCATTTTCTTTTTCTTTTTCTTGTGTTCTGCTGAAGCTAGGTTTGGTATCTTCTTAATTGGCTGAGACTCCACAAAACTCTCCGACTCTGAATAAACTCCAGGAGCAACAAAGGGCTGAGGGATCTCCGTAACAGAGGAAATGGGAGAGACAAGAGGAATACACGGATGGGGATTAAAGGCTGCAGGGCGAGGTCTCTTGCTGCGAGCACGCTGAGGGCCACGGTGAATCGGGCTGAGGGGCATTGCCTTGCCTGCAGAGCAGGAGCTGCTACTGCTGCTGCTCTCAAGGACTGAAACAGGACTGGAGGTTCGGAATTGGTTGCAGGATGACTCCTTGTTGACAGAACAGTTCTCTTTGCCGATGGTCAGCCCACCACCAGAGAAAGAATCCTCCATGAAAGTTGAAAGCCATTCAAGTTCTACCGTGTCTTCGTACTAAGAGAAAATAGTAAAAACAAATATTCGACAAAATCAGATCATGTCTAGAATATCTATGTTCCATAGGAAAATGAAAATCAGTCGATTAGTGTAAATCAAGTATGCAACTTAATGTTCTTAAGCCAATGCAGGTAATGATAAAAAGAATGATCAATAGAGTTAGGGAATTAAACATGAATTTATAGAGTTTGCTAAACATTTTCATTCAGTACATGCATTAAGTGCTTTGATTGCAGAAATGTTAAGCTTCTAATATTAAAGCGGTCCTTTCTATTGATGTAGAGGGAGCAACAATGCTATTTTGAGCATAGGGCGATTTGGTATGTGGTACATGTACAAGTACTCGATACGCTTATTTAAGCGATCATGATCACGAACCTACCCGATTTCATGTTGACCCTAGTTCGTGAGACGTTAGGGGTATTTACAATCATGGTATGTATGAGGACAAGTGCAGATTACAAGATCACTACCACTGATAGGGTTTGAGACTTAGCAATTCCCAGCCATTAACAAAAAAGTTATGATGTCTAGGTCCCTTTGAGCAGAAGAAAGAGAATAAATAATGGTGTCATGGGACACATCTGCCACCAGACTTGAATTTTTCAACTACCAGTGGGGGAACCTGCCCATGCCTTAGACTTTATTAGCCAATCACACCCTTTTATGACTACAATTTCATATGATTGATGCCCAAATAAGAGACGACCTGTTAATACGAATATAAAGTTGGAGAGTTTAAGTATTTTTTAAGTCACCAATTTCGTAATAAATTAGACCCGATACGACACAATTAATACATAAATCGAATATAAATGAATTCAATCAAAAGAAATTGATAACATGACTCATTTATCTACTGGTTATATATGTTTCATATTCGTCAAGAACTCAATATAACACAATTCATTAGATATAAATTAATAAATAAATTAAATATGATAGAATTATTTTTTGACACAAACTTACACTAATTAGTCACACCTGACATGATTGACTGGCCTTGCCAGCTTATGTGGGCCTAGTAAGTGAGAAATCTGATTTTCATATGTTATAAATGCAGCAAAAAATAGATACAGATTTTGACCCCCACTTTTATGCCAAAAAGGAAATTTAATTGGGACAATAAACATAGTCTACCTCATGGTGTGTGTGCAAACTACTTTATGCCGACAGCCAAGCTTGCACACCCACATGGCGAAAAATATTTTTTAATTTAATGATTATAATAAATTAAGTTAATAAATTAAATTTAAATAATATTTGATAATTAAAAAGCAATCTAACACATCTTAATTATAATATAATCACAATAAAAACATCTAAAAGAAATACAAAACGGAACATTTTAGTAGAGGCCAAAAATCATGCGCGAGAGAGACTCAAATACTCACCGGAACGCCGAATTCAGCGGAGAGGTCAGAAGCGCTATTGCTGCTGGTGCCGGAGAAAATTGGTTCTGGACCCAGAAAAGAATGGGAAGAATTTGGCCAAATGGCCCGAAAATCGTTCCGGTCACCGGAGCCAAGCCCAAACCCATTATCGGGAGGAAATTGAGTCAAGTCGTCAAAAGAATCGAAGAAGCTGCCGCAGTCTATCTCGTCCTGGAAATTGGGATCCATCATTTCTCTGAATGTAACCTTCTCTGAGAAAATTCAAAGGAAAATGGAAGTGAGAGAGTGGGGGAATAAGTGAGAAAAACTTTTTGAGTGGTGTTTGGTAACGTGCGCACGCTGCGTCGGGGCCACCTTGTCCTCGGCATGTCAATGATTCTGGCCACCGCAGAGGACGTGTGGCGCATATTAGCAAGAAGTTTCAAATTTATGGCAGTGATTTTGGATTGTATTGCCCTAATTTAAGCTACTGAGATTCCGAAAATCTTCAATTATTTTTTTCTTTTTTTAAGAAGAATAAAAAAAAAAACTATTTAGCAAATTCAAAAAGAATTTATAAAATTTGTGGGGTGTATCTTTTAATTAGTTTGAAGAATTTGTTAAAACATTCAACTTATTTATCAAAATGCGATAATTTTATAAAGAATTGTCAATAACCACATTCTTAAATAAAAGCGTGGTTACCACCAACTACAATGGTCTAGGGGAGCATCAGTTTTATTTTTCACCGTGAGGTTCAGAGTTCGAGTTTTAAAATTGTTATTAAGGTTTAGTAATTGACCGATATACTAGTCCAATTAGGTCTGATCCTAATAGGTGTTCCAGGCATGGAACTTTATGATCCTATCAAGTGAGAGCCTATTGAAATAATCGTTGGCGCTCTTTTCTTATCCCCACTTTTTTTTCTCAACAAAATAAATAAATAAAAGCATGGTTATTAGAAAGACCATGTTTATATTTAAAAGCGGGATTAATTTTTTAACAAAAGTGAAGTGAATAACCCTATTAAATCGATTTAAAAAAATTATAATTTAAAAAATAAGTTAAACATTGTNGGATTAATTTTTTAACAAAAGTGAAGTGAATAACCCTATTAAATCGATTTAAAAAAATTATAATTTAAAAAATAAGTTAAACATTGTAACTTGATAATTTAGTTTCTAAATTACCGTATTTTGATACTTAATTTCATTTGAAGAGATTCTGTGCATATGTACTTGTTTGGCTGGAGGAAAAGAATAGCAGAAGAAGAGATGCAAACCTCACAGCTTTATGTGAAGACGAAAGAGAAGCGAAATGCGAGTGGTCAGAATTTGAAGTTCTTCACTGAAGTAACACCTGCAAAGAAAATAATTAAGTAAAATTTTAAGAACGGAAAATGGCATATTTAATGGGTTCTGTTTGGTTACATAGAAAAATAAGGAAAACTTCAAAACTTTGGAACGTAAAACTCTTTTAAATGAAAATATTTCCATTAACTGTGACCAATTACACCAAATTTGGTTCATTTGAGGGGTTTTTTTTCTCTATGAGAATAAAAACAAAGAGCGAAAGACATGAAATTAGTTTTCTTTTTCTTTCCCTCTCCTTTATATCCTCTGTTTTTCTCAGCATCCAAACAAGAGGCAAAATGAACCAAAATGACCTCAGATTGCCAAAAAAACTTAAGCAGAGAAAAATGGTATATTTTTCATGAGAAGAGAAACATCGAATTTTTAGTAGAATTGAGAGTGAAGGTCCAGAAAATTCAGAGTCGAACCTGAGCAAAACTGAGAAACTAAAAACTTTTGGCGCACACTTCGAGACAAACCCTCTCAAAAGAGAAACTCTGAAACCAATACAAGTACGAAAAGGAGCAAATATACCTAGAAACTACTCCCACTCTTAAACACTATTCCTCCATTATAGAGAGGGAAAGAGAGTGAGTGTTAAGTTGTGAAAGGAGAGAGAAGAGAAGGGAGAACACTTAAAAGGGATGGGAAGAGAGAGAGACAAATAAGAGTAATGGTAGGTGAGACTCCACCTTCGCTCTTAGCTGTCTTTTACCCTCACAGTCCTCACTGTCGTGATTCTGAAGTCTTCTTCAATACCACGGTTACCACTACCCTTCTCTGTCTCTG